TGACCCAAATTGGGTTAAAACAACCCAGCATTTTTTAGAGTGTGTGTGTGTGCATAAAATAATTAAAACATTCTTAGGATGTTTTATAATGAAGTCCTTCAAAAGTTTAATAACTATAAATCATCCTCAAACTTTTTAATATACTTATACTAATTTACTTTTTAAATAGTACTGAAAGAAGTTCACATGTATACCCCTTTTTCCCTGATTGATTGAATGAACAAATGTTATTCTGAAATACAGTATATGATATCGTATAAGAACACTCTAAACGATGCTGGGTTGTTTTAACCCAAATTTGGGTCAAATATGGACAAACCCAAATGTTGGGTTAAAAATGTAATTCAAAATTGAACTCAACCAACCTTTCACTTTCAACTGTACATTTTTAACCAACATTTGGGTTTGTCCATATTTGACCTAAATTTGGGTTGAAACAACCCAGCATTTTTAAGAATGAATAAATAGGTGCATTTAAACAATTGACTTGTAGTGTGCATTTAATCAATCGACTTCCTAAATGAACAGGTTTAGTCTAGAATAAATGATGAACCTCAAAGTCTTGACCTAGGATACACTTTTCTGTGTTCCTGTGTCCCTAACAGGTAAAAGCATCTGTTCGGCTAATGGCAATGGTGTTTCACACATCCCAGAGTGCAACACTATCCGCCAGTAACTCATCAGTTTGGTCTCAATCTCCGAGTCGCTGAGTGACTGCACTTCCCCAGGCCGAGTCTTATCAGCACTGACGGTAACACGATTCCTCGAGAGCTGCAGATCTCCACACCAAAACTCTGTTTATCTTTACAAACCCACTGATCGAGCGCTTGCTTAGTACCTGATTTGTGAACTATTTTGGGAATTGAAAAGCACAAACCCAAAAAACCCACATCCACACAGCATTGTATATGCCTTGATTTTAATAAACTAAAGCATTCTGGTGCCACAAACTCCTCACCTGATATATTGTCCTTTTTTCCCGGCTTTTCTGTGCAAGGGTCAGATGTCAGTAGAAAGTGATATTTCCTCTTCCTGCTATGGGAAAACAGGATTAGATTAGATTAGATCAGATTATCAGATTGGAGTAGATTAGAATAATCTTGGTCAAAAGTCTCAAAATTGAAGTCTCTATGATGAAGCTCTAGTTTAGATTGATGGGTGACCAGAGAGTTTAAACCTCTGATTATAGTCTTTACTTATAGGAGGGGGACTAGAAGAACATCAGCACCCTTTGAGACCCCCACAGACAAGCATGCAGGCCAATCCCGGCCCCAGGGCATCCTCACCTTACATACAGGGGCCTGGCACCTGAGAGATGGGAAAGGTGAAGTGTGAGGGCCCCCAGGGGTCCCAGGGTCAGGCTTACAAGGTGACAAGTCAGTGTCCATCTGTGGGGAAAATATTCATTATTTAATACACAACCCAAACTTTTTAACAATAAACTGTTTTGTAATTGGCAGTATAGAAAGAGACCACACAATAATGATTAAATGAATAAATTATTGAATATTTCCATGGATTTCATATATTCAATTGGCTAGTAATTATGAAAATTTCCAAACCCAAAGTGACTCTTTCTCAGGGATTTTCTAAAGGCAATTCGAAACGACTTGTTATTTGCCCAGGAAAAAATTAGGCTAACAGTTCAAGACCTCTAATTATTAAAACTGGGAAATCAGAAAATGTTTTAAAGAATAAGAAAACATGTCAGAAAAATATAATGTAATTAATAAACTACATAAAATTATATCATTTAAAATGCATGTGACAACTTTCTCCAATAAAATGGCAAAGCCCAAAGTTTAACTATGGCTATCTGCCAGTAAAAATAATAATATGATAGTTTAAAAACCGTTTAAAAACATATTTAAGACCGTTTACAACATAAAATTGTTTAATAAAACTAGCTCACACAACTAATTTTACACGAGTGTGTAACCTAGGCTAGGCATACTGTTGATTTGGTCGTTAGCTATTAGCTAAAAGCTAACTGAAATCACAGACTCTAAGTGAACCAAGTTCACCAACCAAAACTAATTACCCGTAGTGTACGAACATCCTGCACAAACTTCTTCACGTCACATTAGTATGGGGTAATTCATATTAGGCTATTTCTTTTTTAGCGTCAGCAGTTAGTAAAGTATCGATGTCTGATGATGTCAGCTATCAAAAGTTTGAACGCACGCGCGTCCCATTGGATACGTCAGTTTGCACAATAATTCATGCAAATGACCAGAAACAATCGAATCCCAGGATGAATTACACCAAATACAAAATTATTTTTCTTTTAGAGTGATTGCAAGTGTACAGTTGTGCTTGTCCGTTTATAAAAACAAATATAGGCCTATGTAAAAAAAAATCTGTTGAGTCTACCAGGACGTTTTTATCTAATTGTGTGGTTTTGGGTTAGGCTAATGACCCTCAGTTTGTTTCTTTTTTTTTTTTTTTTTTTTTTAATCAACATTAAAAAATCCATTTAATAATGACTTAATGACTAAGTCATAATGTATGCAAGATAAGACTGTGTCAGTCAACGTGAAAATGATGCTTATCCATAATTAAATCAACTTTTGTAGACATTTTTTGAATGAACTTTATGTAGAACTTAATGGACATGTAAACGGAACTAGGCCTACGTTTCATTTTTAAGTACATTTTTATCACCTTAGTCTTATTTATCATTAACCCGTTAGATGAATACAACTGACTGCATGTCTACCTGTCTGTCCATTTCAATTATGTACCTCTCATTCTGACTATGAGAATCCATCCTGCAATATATGGAACAACAATGTCCTTTGTTAGAATAAAGACACACGGAGGGAACTTCTCTCCGAGTGCTTTCATTTGTTCCCAGATCTCTGTTTTTTCACTAGAGCAGCAGGGTGTCTCTAGTGATGCCAAAACCGTTCGTGTTCCAGCACTGTTGACACGAATCTCCTGTCAGTTCTGCTTTATCCCAGACAACAGGGCCAATTGAGTTGTATTTCAGTTTATTTTCATTTTCTTTCTTTGTGGGGCATGCAGTGGATTGACTTTAAAATTACAGCAGAGAATATAAAGAGAATATATACCACAAAAATGAATAAATAAAACACCTGACTGCATGGCAAAAATCTAGGATTGTAACCATAGAGAACTTCTTTCTTAAAATTGAAGATTCAAATTATAAGCAGATTAACAGCCTGATGAAAACCTTCAACAAAACGTACAGTTTCTTAGAAAAGTGATTTAAAGAACCTATACATCTCCATGATGTTTGAAGAACTTAAAATGCTTTAATCTCCAAAGAACCACGGCTACCATGTAAAAAATATATATATGTTCATGATTTTTGTAATCACAACATTTTTTCTTTTGTCAAATCAACTTAAATAATTTATGTGCTTCAGATAACATAATATTTTGAGTTTCTGATGATTAAATCAATCTCCTTCATTATATTAACTCAATTTTTCCATTTCAATGACCTTAAAATTTTAAGGCAATCAGATTTCTTCATTTTTTTTAAGTTAAACCAAATTTTTTTTACAGTGGATAACTTTTTTAAATGAGGATGATGTGAAATTACATAAAAGCTTCCCAACAAACAGTTGAACTTTTGAACTCTCCAGATATGAAGCTCTGATAAATGACTTTGATTATGGTCGAATGCCTGCATTCAATTTGACAGGCGGAAAATGTCTCAGTCTCACCTTCTGCTTCTCAAACTTGGTAAGTTGAATCACTGTATAAAGCGGCAGATAAGGCTATTTACTCCATCACCATAACCCAGTTGAGTCTGTGCCATTCAGTGGTTGTACAGTAAATAAACAGGCCTTGTTGAAAAACTCCCCTGAGATAATGAGGACAATGAAGAGTTAAATGTGTCCGGCTTTTTGCAGAAAGCAATTAGGAGAACACCCAGCAGGGGAACGGATTAATTCAAACGCTCGATTAAACCTGAAATTCTTTTGATAAATAATTGTCAACTCAATATGGGGTTGATCTGTTATGAGAAAAAAGATGTGGGCTGGTTAAATGGCTTTAAAATGGAGGGTTTCAGAACAACCTTTTCCCTGTACTACATGCCTCAAAAGTGCAATTTGAAATTTCAGTGCTGTATAAAACTGAACAGTACTTTAGTGCAAAAGCTAATTAAAAGTTGTCTTTAAACTGACAGTTTGATTGCAGCCATCTACAAACAAACTACATATAATTGGAAGCAACTGTAAACAAACCACATAAACATGCAAACATGTTAATTGCTGTCATGGTTTTGTGCATCTCTACAGCCACCCGCTGATCGCGTGGGAACACACTGAGATGCACTTGTGTTTGTTGTGCCATTGAGACAGAACTTTATGCATACGATGTTTTGCTCATCATAGAGCAAATAAACAGAAGACATGTCAGATATATGCACATTTTATTTACAAATCAGAAACATTCCAATTAAATAAAATATATCAACATTTCTTCTACAAATAACTGCATCTCAGAAGGCACTTGTTTTAGTGGCCTAGGAAACAGACATGTGAGGACATCACAGAATTATCATTTAGTCAAGGCAGAATACATATAAATGATGCATCCAAAAACACCACAGGCCCCACTGAAATGAACTTCAAGCTGTGCAACTGTTTAGAAATCAAGTCTATTGTAAGAACAGTTTGGCCATGTACTCACAGAGCACATTAGAGGATCGATGAACTTGAGCGCCACTAAACTTCGGTTCCATCCCTGTTGTATATGAGATTATTGACACTGAAATGGTTGGAAAGCGAGTTGATCAAGCCACTGTTATTATGGGATGTTGAGTAGTAGTTGAGTCTGTTAGTGTTGAGATGGCCGTTTTCTGATGGAGGGGCGAGTTCATGTCCAGACATGCCGTGCGTAAAATCCCCCAAGTGTCCGGAGCTGACGTCTCTGCTTCTGATCCCGTTGCTGTTCCCCGCCATTACCGAGTTCATGTTACCGATGAAGTTGTTAAAACACGGGCTGTGCTCGGCGGACGGTGAGGGAGATGATTTGGGCTCGCTGGGGGTCGGAGAGTTTTGGAGACTCTGCGGGGACGCGCTCATCAGACTCGCCGTGTCCGCCAATTTGAGCGCGTCCTCGGATTTCACAGACAGGCCACTGGCGTTTCCATCCGCTCTTCTTTTTCTCTTCCTTCTGAAGTTGCCGTTGTCGAACATTTTCTCGCAGTTGGGATCCAAAGTCCAGTAATTTCCTTTGCCTTAAAAAAAAGATTTAAAAAAATGTTAGTTATGCACGCGACACCATAATTTAACACGAAGTTAATGATCTATGTCGAGAAAAGAACGTTCAGACTTACCAGGGTCATCCTCATCCCGCGCAACTTTCTTGAAGCAATCATTCAAGGACAGATTGTGTCTTATGGAGTTCTGCCATCCGGCTTTGCTTTTCTTATAAAAAGGAAAGTTGTCGGCCACATACTGATAAATCTGACTGAGGGTCAGTTTCTTATCCTGAGTGTTCTGAATAGCCATCGCAATCAGCGCTGAGTATGAGTACGGCGGTCTAACCATCTTGAAAAGTTCTTGCTGACTTGAAATGGAAAGCCACCCGAGATCTGCGCTTCCGAAGCCGGTGGGCGGAGGGAGAAACTGCCGCTGGTTCGACCCAAATCCCGACTGAATGTAAGACCCTCCGTTCGGGCCTGAGAGATACGGAGAAGAGCTGATACCTGGGCTGTTCATCCACAGGTATGGGTTGGTTGTGGACGAGGTGTACTCGCCGAGCGCGTAGCTGGAAGGATGCGCAGGTGGCCTTTGCGCGTGGTGGTGGTGATGGTGGAGGTTCTGCTGGTACATGCTAAAGTTGGTATCGCAGTACACGGTCATGTCCAGGATGTCCTGCGCGTTGTGGTGCTGGTGGGGACTGGTCTGCTGGCTCGACGGCTGCTGTCCAAACGCGTTCATAATCCGTTCTCCCTCTAGAAACATGAGTTTCGCCGATCAAACCTGCTGAATGTGCTCGTATCTGAGGGTTTGCCCGAGTAGGCATCAGGGGAGGGTTATTTAACCTGTGCAGTGAATGAACTGCTGGTTGGCAACCCCTCCCACTGTCACACTTCTCCTCAATTAACTTCATCCAATATGCGTCGAGATCATTCATGTGATAAGCGTTTGGGTTTCAAGGCAACTGAACACAGTCCATTTAAATACAAAAACAAGCTAAATGATTTATCTAAACAACATACACTCTAAAAAATGCTGGGTTGTTTTAACCCAACTTTGGGTCAAATATGGACAAACTCAAACATTGGGTTAAAAATGTATTTTAAACATGTAACCCAATGGCTGGGTTTGTCCATTTGACCCAAAATTGGGTGTACTAAGTATATCTAGCCCTATATATATAAGTCGGCTGAATAAAATGAAATCAGGAGGAGATGCTGTCACACTTTTAACTCCATATACTCAGTATATATCAGTTTATACAAGCCTAACTAACCAAATAAACAAAGTATATAAAAAATAAATAGGCCTAAATAAAAAAAAAATAGTGAGGCATGATGTCCTTGTGCTATTTATTTTATTTATTTTTACATATGAACCTGTCACTGAAAGTGCACAACCGGTTATAAACAATAACAAAAAATTTAATGCCACATTTTTGCGCAAAAATATTTTTAAATAATAATTTGCAAGCATTGTAACATCCTAGTGTGTTTTTTTATTGTGTTCTCTGGTTTATCTATTGCAAAAAATATGGTGATGCTGCTGTAATTATAATTTGGATCACAGCATTATTCTAATTTAAAACGAGTGAACTAAATTTGAAACCAACACACAAACAGCTCCGTGAAAGCCTTTTTTTTTTTTTAACTCAAAACCTCATTAATAACAACTGAATGAAATATATATCTAAATATTTTGGGAGGAAAATGAGGTGCAAATCAATAAAATTAGATGTTTAGTTTAGACAGAAGTTAATGAAAATGAAATTAGTCCAATTGATGAAACGCCCACCCCCACACTATGCAAATGTACGGTAGCCTATCTTCTATCACCAATGAAGTTTCGCTTGAATTTACAAATGGATACGACAGAAGAATCGAAATGAACAGAAATGTTGTTTGTGTTCCGTTATTCAGCTTTTGCATTACTAGATTAAACTGCTACTTTTCTGGCTGTTTTATATTTGTGAAAATGCACATGGTCATTTTGAGAACATCTGAAAAAGAGAAAATAAGTTAATGCAAATTATAAACTATCTATATGGTCTACACTGGAAATATTTTGTTTCACTATAAATATATTATAGTTTATAATTTAATAATAGTCGTATATAATCTCTTGAATAGCCTATAATTAAAGATTTTATTTATTAAGGTCTTTATCGTTTTTATGTATAATTCAGTTATTTGTAAACTATAGTTCAATATTAACCTAACATAACATTTAAAAGGTGAGATAAACTGAATAGAATTGATGACGATAGTATTTTACGCTTTATATCATGTGCATGTCATTCACATTGTGATTAAACTAGAGGTGTATCGCCACCTTCTGTCCATTTGTAGAACATGAACATTTCAACTATCGACAGAAGAACAGATGTAGTCACACTACAAATGCTCATAAATGACGATGACAAAATGACAGAAGACTGACCTAAAACGCCTTTAAAATCTTTCTCCAGTTTAAAACTGTAAGCTTTTGTCTTCCTGTTTGACACCAGAAAAGTGTTTAACAAATGTTAGCCTAATTAAGGTCTTAATTGAACATAAGATGTTACAGTGTATCATAAGTAAATAAAAAAACTAAAAATATATAACATAGATGTTTGCAAACATGTCCCTGCATTCACTTAATTTACATCAAATTAGATAACAATTTCATTCCATTGTTTCTGGCATTTAATTTGGGCAAATAAAAAACTACAAAATTTTTTATTTCAAAAGCAAATTTTGAAATAATGTGAAATAACATTGTGGAGAAAGAGATATTTTTTTTTTTTACTAGTTTTTAGGTTTCAGGATTTACTTTTTTTCCTACCAAACTTTAAATAAAGATAATTCTCAACTATGTTATGAAAGATATACTGTAATTCATATGTAAATGGGAAAATGGTAATGCCATTCAATAAAATGTATCTATGCACTGCATCTAATTTGCATATGTGTTCTTCGGGAAAACATTTTAAGTTAAAGATGTGTAGGCCTAATAATGTACATTCAGGTATAATATGTATATTAAAAAAGAGAAAAATTGTGGGCTAAATAAAAAGCAAAAATATGCTAAAAAAAAAAAAGAAAGAAAAGAAAAGCAGAAAAAGAATGCATGAAGCATAGGGTAAGAATAAATAGGCCTATCATAACAGACAGGAATTGTATTTATAGGCCTATATTCTTCGTACAGTCTGACCAGCAGATGGAGACATGACTTCATCATGAGACCTCACTGTGATCTGGCTGCATCTGAAAAACAGTATGTGACAAAAGAAGTATGTCAGAATTCACAGTAGCCTACTCATAAAAAGTGTAGCCAAAAAGTATTCAGACATATAGGGATAGCCTATACGATGTCAGATGCATATTGAGATTCTCTAATACTGCCAGTTTGAGTCTGCGTCTCCTATCAATCATCACTTTCAGGAACTTACAGTTAAACTTTACAGTGCAACTGTGCACGATGTTACGTACTAGTTCGTAAAACAAAGTTGCTCATTTTATTGATGCAGCGGTTATAATGCGTTTAAAAACGAGCGAGAAAACAAAAATCGTTGAAGACTTGCGGTCTTTACGCCCACCTGAATACTTCGGACATATCCATGCACTGTAAGTAGACACGTGGTCAAGTGTGCGTATTTAGACAGGCCCAATGACACACTTTGTCGGTTATATGGCTCAAATATCAACACCAACAACCTTGACATGTGCATCGATAAAAAATGCTTCTTCATGATTATGCACCATGAAACTTATACATTTCGGTGTTTACTTTAATAAACAACACAACATTTCCTGATTCAGTTTTTATGAAGACTCAAGACTGCTTTATTAATTTAATAAAATCAGTTTGTTAGCAATGCGTTCAGCATTTCATGAAGCACGCTGGAATCTCACTAACTCTCTGTCTCCCCCTTGTGTGAGCCATGAAACATGTGCTTTAATTCACATTAAAGAGATTTTCACTTTAGTCATCATCACACATGTCACAATATAACATCAACCTTTTTTGAGAGAAACAAATTCAAAGCTAAAGCTAAATAGCCAAATAATTCAATAAATCATATCTCAATAAACTAGCAAACAGGCTTATTGCTTCGTTATCTACAAAAATGCATAACATTTTATGCTATACCAAATTAAGTTTGTGCATCTTTAGATTGACATCAAACGTACAACAGTGGGTGAAGCAAAAAAAAAAAAAAAAAAATCCCTTTACCCAACATAATCTTTTTTTGCATTTTGACTATTGAGGCATGTTGTCAAAAAATCTGAATGTTATTTACAGTAGTTGACTGAGCAATAGATGTAGAAATATAGTATATTCAAATTCACTGGCGTGAAACGTGTCAGCTTCGGTCTCCCCAATAGACAATCACGATATGGGTCAGTAAAAAGTAGATTTTCCAGCAAATGAAGCCCAAGAGGACTAAAAGGTTTACTTTCACTATTGACACTGCATATGTAGATCAAACCCGTCAAACATCATTACATGTGAAAGGACAAACAAACATTCACCTTGAAGAGTGACATTCCTCTGTGAATACTTTCAGATATCTTAATGTGATTTTACTCAAGTCAAAATTCACACAACCATGTCAACGCTGACATTTATGCAACACATTTATAACTGGAATGACAGCATTTCCATCCTCAATGACTAGATTTACAGATTTACTTCCCTGTAGGGATATTTATATAATGGCACCCATGTGAAAAAGAAATATTTGCAGCCAGACTAGTTATCAGTGTGTTTATGATTAGTTAACTTGTGCTATTTGGAAACAATTTCGTACTAAGTATTTTAGTTGTAATTAAGATAATAATGAAGCAGCTGAACTTCTTTCCTTGTTTGAGTTACATTTTATGATATTACGGTCGTGTCTTTTGGATTCTTCTGAAGTTCAGCGTCACGCTGCTCGGCAGACCGGACCTGACCAGCTCCTGTTTTAGCTGAAATAAAGATTTATTGAATCGTCTATTAGCACCATAATTATCAATAATTATATATATATATATATATATATATAAGGTCCATTAGTAGCAACTTACTTTCTCTAAAACAGTCTCAATGTTTCCATTCTCTGTCAGGTCTGAAAATGAAGTAACTCTCATTTGAACTCCTATGATATTTTCTAAGGGAAAAAAAAGCACATGATTAATAATTATGGTAGTATGGTTATGGTAGTTAAAAATGAATGTTTTGAATATGCATGCATACTGTATAGTGAACATCATGAAGAGGAGGTCAAATAGAAATATAATATTTGACTTGAATAATAAAGAATTTCACAACAACGCCTTGAAAACAATTAGTTTGTTTCCAGGTACATTTCAATTTCCGCATTTTGCAGATGCTTGTATCCAATTTTAGGTTGATTAAAGGTTTTGAATGCGATGGAATCAAACTCATGACTTTGACATTGCAAGTGCTGAAACATCATATGATGCCACATCAAAACAAACTAATAATACTAAAGTTTCTAAACATGATGGCAATTATGTACCTTGTACATTATTTTGATCTGTTCTCCTGTCCACCCTGAAGGCCCATCGACCTGGCACATTTACATTACTGGTGTTCTTAAGGTTTGGAATAATATTACGATCGATTGATCCAGGAATCACAAAGTAGTCAGTGGAGTTTATTGTGTCATAACCAGCCTGCACAAACAAGGGAATGACATATTATTGAGACAGAACATCAAGAAGAGATGGGCGTATTGTGTTCTATTGATGTATAAAGCATGTTTTACCTGCACCGTAAATTGTGTCACAGCGCAGTCACCATAATTCATGAGAATGAAAGACAAATCACCGCCCGAAATTAACACCACTTGAAACGATAGTTCCTGCAAAGTTTGGGAACACTGAATGTCACAGCAGCTCTGAGAATAGTTTAACCTTGAGCCTGAAGGAGTTTTAACAAACTAACTTACTGTGCCAGAGGCAAAAAAGTCTTCAACTCTATCCCAAGTAGCAACAAGGACCCAAGTAGCCGTGAAGCTCAGATACGGGAAATACTGGTTTATCTCCTGAGTTGCTTGAGTTAGCACACTTCCATTAGAGTACTGCTGATATGAGATTATGCCATTCATACTGACGTCCACATCTGCCCAGAGCGGAGCAATGACGTCTTTAGTTCCAATGGGAAAGTAATTCACGAAAGACTCATTCGAAGGCTGATTGAATGTAAGGTGCCCGTTATTATTAACCTGGGTAATAAAAAATATATTAGTCATCCCTGTCACATTTTTCTCATTCACCGTTTGCATTAGCAGAACTGGATACTCACATATGTGTTGTTGTATGTGCGGCCAAAGAACACAAAAGGTCTCCACAGGTCGATAAGAGTGGAGTTTTCATCTTCAACAGCAATATTAACAGTGTCTCCTGCCACTGAGCCGAACGGATAGAATACAACCGGCGCTGCAAGACAAACAAACAAGTCCAAACTGATGAATAATCTCAGTTCACATGTTTTATATATGTTTTAGTTCTAAGGTCAGAAATTACCTGTCTGTGCTTTTGTCTCCCTGCCTGTTGAAAAAAAATAAATAAATGCACATAAATTTAGATACACTTCCAAACATATTTGAATATTGTCTTTGGATATTTCTTTGTCACTCCATGAAGGATATTATTTAATGGTAAAACTCACTCAGCGCAAGGACTGATATGAACATCAGCATATATTGTGAAACTGCAGACAACCCCATGATAAAAATTTGGATTAGGTCAGAGATACCAGAATGTCACTGCTACAATTTCACAGAGTAACTAAAATCACAAAAGAGCAAAGCAATATTAATACTTTTATAATTTTTGATTTTATACTAATTTTCTGTTATTCTTTAACAATTCAGATGTGCATAGACATATAGCATCAGAGAATACATTGTTAAAACAAACAACGTTATAGACAAAAAGTTAGATGTTTACCTCAGTCGACTTCGTGGAAAATGCAAGAAGATTGACTTCTGAAAGGTTAAAATCGGGCTCTAATTACCATAGCGCTGAAGGGAGTGACGTGTTCCCTCAGTGTCTGAAACGCATTCAGAATAACAAAGACTGGAATTCTCACTACACAACTTTTTAACTTCCACTTTCTTTGTATCTAAAACCCACGGTTGGCAAAAACTAAAACATTCCTGGCTATTCACCTACACTGACTTCATGGCCTCAAATGTCGTCTAGACAGGCTTAATGTGTGTCAATTCAGATGTGATGTCTCCTGAATTCTGACTGTCTTTAGCCCCACCTACTGGATGAGTTTAACATTACAGCTGAAGATTCAGCTTTTTTAAACTTCATTTGTTGACACATGACAAAGATTTGTAGACAAATAACAGGTTTATTAGCATTGTTTACATGTTCAAAGTTGAAACCCCTAAGAAATCTGCTAACACAAAGCATGATAGTAGTACAAAGGAAAAAAAGAAAAGAATGGATGATTATTTAAGATGGTTTATCTTATTAATTAAGTTGGAACATATGTGATTAGTGTATTAATTAATTTATTATCTAATTTGATCATCATTTTCATCATATTTATGCTCATTTATTATTTTGTTAGAGAGTAATAAGTTCAAGGGTGAGAAACTATAAAGGTTCCCTTCCTGCGACATTCAAGGCATACATCTTCAAGGTCACCATTTGAAGTCCCTTCCATGTATTACGGTGTCTTTTCAACTTTTCTTAACTTCATCTCAAAGAAATTTGACACTCCACGATTGACCAGCTCTTGTTTAAACTGGAACAAAGATGGACAGATAGATCAAAATGTATTTCCATTGTACTGGTTAATAAAGTCACCAATGTCAGATTATAAGGTTAGACATAGGCTATAAGATAAGAGTCAGTTTTTGTTTTTCTCTCTCCCTGAGGCAGAAATGTGCTTTTGTTTGAAAAGTGTGACTTACTTGCTGCAAAACATACTCAGCATTTCCAGGCTGTGTCAGGTCTAAAAATGAGCTAAGTTTCAATTGAACTCCAATGACATTTTCTAAAAGGAAACACACATAATAAGGCATAATAACACACACAAATATACAGTATACTGTATATACTGTATATACACAGGCCTGTATAGACCGATAATTCACAATAGGCCCTAAGGCCAAATCACATTCGTTCTGATAGAGCCATATCGCACAGCGACTTGTGTGACATTGCGTTCATACAACAGTTCGTCGAGACGTGTGTAAATAAAAAAGAAACAAGAACAGAGTGGCTATTTAAATCACTCTTTTGTGTGGAAAAAACTTCCTTCCGCCATGGATTTAAATCTCAAGTTCACTTTATAACAAGTAACAAATGAACATTGAGTTGCTTCATTGAAGCTTATAGATGGGCTCTGCACGACGGCATTTCCGGTGGGAAAAAAAACTATAAAGTTTTAGGGCTGGACGATATGATGATATAGGCTATATATAAAACACTGATATAAGTGATCACCCGGATTTAGACCTACCTATATTGTATTTATATAAAGTGTTCACAGGCAAATTTGCTTTATGTTTAGGTCTATTTTGCTTTTATTTCCCGGTGTCGAAATCAGGCAAACATAAATGTCAGGCAACACGATTCCTGACTGGATGTCAATGTCCATGGATCACTGGATCTTTAGTAAGTTGAAAGGAACACTATATTGAGTCCAAAATTTAGTTTAAATTGATAAAATTGTTCGTTTTAGTCGTATTTTTGCAGTTTCCCATATTAAATCCAGTCACGCACGCAGCTTGCCACTCAGTCAGGCTGAGGAGGGTTGTTCCGGCGGGAAAGTGACGTCAATGCATTCACTCTAATGGTTCTATCAATGGCTAAAGAAACGTTACTCACTAAAATAGACACCCCTAATTTTGTTTATGCTTCTTTATTTATTATATTAAATAAACATGTATAAAATTACATCTAAACTTATTACAGTTTAGTTTCAAAGACGGGTGGAAGGTAAATTTTGAAGACTCTGCCATAATCCCGTTTTCCTCGGTTTTCCCTGTCTATGGGGTTTCCTCCGCTTTAAATCTCCCCAACGAAGAGCAGCCTTGCGTCAAATGCGGAAAGTATGCGTGCATATATAGCCTATTATGTAAAGTAGGCCTAGAGTATTATGAGAAAGATTGACTAAGCAAGTGCATTACCTTCGTACTTCCGCTCTATTTAATTTGCATCTAGCTGGTATTCTTCTGGACAATCTTATTTCCATAATCACAAAATCAGTTTGAAAAATCAGAGACTTTTTCCTTTCAACAGTTAAGGCGATTTCCATGACAGCTCTAGTCAGTGCATTTGTAAATTGATTGCTTACAACCTTTTTTCAATCCCTTTCAAAATAAAAGTATTTGCTAAGACTCACTCTTAAAGACAGTCTAATGGTGTAATAATGGAGCTAACTTTTACTGAAGTCAAAATCACAATCACTAAAACACTTTCTCAATATCAAATACGGCATGTTATTGATGTAAAATAATATTTATTTTAAAAAAAAATTCATTTAAACAATATTAGAAATTATGTAAGTATAACAAGTTTGCATAGAATAGAAAATAAACAACCAAACAGTAAAAGCATCATTTTAATGAAACTCCTACCTGTTCCGTTGTTCACAAGAAAGGCCCAGCGACCCGGAACATTTACGTTACTCATGTTATTGAGGTTTGGGAGGTTGCCATAAACATCATAATGAATTACATGGTAGTCAGTGGAGTTTATTGTGTCAAATCCAGCCTATTAAAACCATGAAAAATTAATGTTATGCAAGATAGTCTACAGAGCCAATTTCAAATATTATTTCAATCCTTTGATGTTTGTTTTACCTCCACTGGAAAATATGGACTAGCACAGTCACCATAATTCATCAGAATGAAAGAAAAATCACCTCCTGAAATTAAAACCAACTGAAAGGTGATTGCCTAAAAAACAAAAAAACAAAACAAAAAACAATATAATGATTGATAGTCTACACAGTCTGTGACCTTGTGCCTGAAAAAGATAAAAGTAAAATAAACTACTTACCGGTGCTGAGTGAAGATTTAATACATTCAGATCAAATGCGTGAACATAGTCCCATGTTGCAACAAAGACCCAAGAAGCAAAAAAGGTCTTATGAGGGAAATACTGGTTTATATCCTGAGTGGCGCGAGCGAGCACACTTCCATCAGTGTACTGCTGATACCAGTATCTGCCATATCCAATGTCATCAAGCTCAGTCCAGAGCGGAGCAATGAAATCTTCACTTCCATATGCGGGAAATTGGTAAGGGTGAGCTTCTGGTAAAGGTTGGTTGAATGAAAGGAGTCCGTTATTATTAACCTGAAATAAGAAAAATCAGTTCAAATCCACCAGTAAAGTATGAGCTGGATTATCACAACGTTTGCATTCATATTAGACGAGCAATGGAACTGGAATTGGTGATAGAGGGAATTCTCACGTATGCGTCGTTGTACTTGCGGCCAAAGAACATAAATGGCTTGGAGAAGGGAACATATATGTAGGTTTCACCACCAGTTTCAAGCTGTTCTATGTCTCCTGCCGCTGAGCCGAATGTATAGAAAATTGCTGGTGCTGCAAACAGAATCAACACAAAAAATACAAATGAAGATGTGAGTTTTTTACCAGTCAGAATATCATAATTATGGCGATTCTGAACGAACCATTGATTCAAAAGTCAGTATAAATACCTGTCCATGGAGTTGTTGTTGTTGGAATGGCTGTTAAAGAAAAAGAGTATTCAATTATTAAACACTTCTGTAAAGTACATTGAAAGATGCATTGCATATGATCATATGATGAGTCGTCTAACAGTCGCAGTATTTTTACTTGTTGAGACTGTGGTGGTTGTTGTGGTGGTGGTTGCTGTGGTGGTTGCTGAAAGAATAAACACAAATACCATTAAATACCTCATGAACACACTTAAAGATTGTAAATGGGTTTCCTAAATGTAACATATATGCATACATTACATGCAAGTCCTATGTATAACATTCAATTATAAAACACTTAGCCCTATGTAAAATACATAAAAAATTAATTCGCCCGGACATGTTGGCACGTTTACAACACTGCATGAGAGGGACTATTTGAAAAACCATAATAGGGGCACTTGAACTAATTTTAACACATTCATACACCCGGCACAATAGGGTGGCAGGCGCAACGCAAGTGTTTTTTGCTAGTTTCAGCCCGACGCAGTCATCATTTTCATGTCCTGGGCCACGTTGTTTAAATAGCAAATGCAATTGCACCCATCTGTTCGCTCATGGGCATGCTTATCTGAAAACGAGATGTGTTCGGGTGCATTATTGGCGTGTTGCTATTTTGAGGCAAATGAAATAAACTACTATTTTTAATATTTGGCATGTTTGTGTGCTTGTTTGTTGTTAATAAGCAGAGTGTATGCACCCCCTTATAGATGCACATTACTAACATGCTTTTTAAATAACAAAAAAATATTGCGCCATTGACCAACTGAAACCTGGTCTAAAGTCAATGGCGCAATATTTTTTGGTTATTTAAAAAGCAATAGTAGTAAGTAAATAAAGTTTATTTATACAGCACTTTTTTACAGACAGAGTCACAAAGTGCTTTACAATAGACATTAAAACATAGCGGAAAAAGAAACAGTCTAAGACAAAAATAAAAAAACAACAGATAAAATTATCAATAAACCAAAGACAGAGATTACCCAGCTAACCTGAACAATTGAGTCTTCAATTGTCCCTTCAAACGGTCAACATTTTCAGCAAACCTAATGCTAGTTGGCAGAGCTTTCTAGAGTTTGGGTCCCATAGCGGCAAAGGCTGTATCCCCACGTCTTTAGACGAGTACGTGGCGTAGATAGATAGCAGATTTTGGTTGTTAGACCTGAGAGACCGGAAGGTGGTGTGTAGGAGAATTATGTTGGCAAGATAAGCAGGGGCCTGGCCATGTAGAGCCCTATATGTTATGGTAAGAATTTTGAATTGGATCCTGTAAGTTACAGGAAGCCGGTGAAGGGAGCAGAGTAGAGGGGTGAAATGGGTGCACCTATTTGATCTAGTAATAGCCTAGCAGATTGCAGATGGTGAAGGAAAGATTTGTTAAGGGAGAAGAGTGAGTTGAAAGTCAATACAGGAGATAAAGACATGAATGAGCATCTCCAGTTCTGACTTAGAGACAATAGCCCTCAATTTGCTAATGCTGCATTAGGAGGAAAAAACAATAGCTTGTCCCTTAGGTGGCAGTATTAGCTCAGCCAAAACAGAATGTAGCACTGAGCGGGCCGGGTCTAAGTGTTCAGTAAAAACCCCAAATAGACGCTACCTCTTTGTCCGTCTTCCTTTACTAGTACATAGTATACTACACATTTGAAATGTGTACCAAAAATACACATTCCAAGAAAAAGTCTTTGTTCTTGGAAGAGAAGTGGGGTCAATACATTGCAAGTGGTCCATTGGAAGGTGTAATATTACCTTTACAAATAATGTAATTTAGTGCAAGAGTTAAAGGGATAGTACACTTTGAAATTCATTTTTGATATGTTTTAGCTTACCTCAAGGGCATGTGTCTTTGTTTCCGCAGTAGTTTCAATTTTGATATTTTTAGGTCAAACCGTTCTTGTCTGTCAGTCATATAATGCAGGTCTATGGTCACCACCTCAAAGAGCATGCACAGAGTCCAAATTAAACATGATTTAATGACTCGTAAATGTAAGGACACATTGAAGGCCTAAGACACGAAACGAGCGGTTTGTGTGAGAAAACGAACAGTATTTATGTCGTTTTTTACCTCTTGTTACCACAGCCACGTCCAAGTGATCTGAGGGCACGGGCGCTTCAGTCTGGCCAAAGCCGGAAGTGATCTCTCGTATGTCACTCATTGCTTACACATAGATTTCATAAGTGTTACCTTTCAATGTGAAGATCTAAACATAGATATACAGGAAATCCCAATGGCAGACGATTTCGATATATCAACAGAAAATGTTGATTTTTATTCGCAACTGCGCGAAAGATCAATTCCGGCGCTTTCCAGGGCTTGTGCAGACCGAAGCGCCCGAAGAGGTAAAAAATTATATAAAAACTGTTCGTTTTCTCACACAAACCGCTCGTTTCGTGTCTTAGGTCATCAATGTGTACTTACATTTACGAGTCATTAAATCATGTTTAATTTGGACTTCTCTGAGCATGCTCTTTGAGGTGAACCGAGGGGAGGACACTGATAGACAACAACGGTTTGACCGAAAAATATCAAAATTGAAAGTACTGTGGAAACAAAGACACCTACATCTTGGATGCCCTTGAGGTAAGATAAAACATACCAAAAATGCATTTCAAAGTGAACTATCCCTTTAAAGCAAAACAACATACACTCTAAAAATGCAGTTCCTTGTCTCTGTTTTTGTTTGAGCTGCTCCATTAGATGAGGCGTTGTTACAAACCCAATTCCATAAAAGTTGGGACACTGTACAAATTGTGAATAAAAACAGAATGCAATGATGTGGAAGTTTCAAATTTCAATATTATATTTAGAATACAACATAGATGACATATCAAATGTTTAAACTGAGAAAATGCACAATTTTAAGGGAAAAAGAAGTTGATTTTAAATTTCATGGCATCAACACATCTCAAAAAAGTTGGGACAAGGCCATTTTTACCACTGTGTGGCATCCCCTCTTCTTTTAATAACAGTCTGCAAACGTCTGGGGACTGAGGAGACAAGTTGCTCAAGTTTAGGAATAGGAATGTTGTCCCATTCTTGTCTAATAAAGGCTTCTAGCTGCTCAACTGTCTTAGGTCTTCTTTGTTGCATCTTCCTCTTTATGATGCGCCAAATGTTTTCTATGGGTGAAAGATCTGGACTGCAGGCTGGCCATTTCAGTACCCGGATCCTTCTTCTACGCAGCCATGATGTTGTAATTGATGCAATATGTGGTTTGGCATTGTCTTGTTGGAAAATACAAGGTCTTCCCTGAAAGAGACGATGTCTGGATGGGAGCATATGTTGTTCTAGAACTTGGATATACCTTTTAGCATTGATGGTGCCTTTCCAGATGTGTAAGCTGCCCATGCCACATGCACTCATGCAACCCCATACCATCAGAGATGCAGGCTTCTGAACTGAGCGCTGATAACAACTTGGGTTGTCCTTGTCCTCTTTAGTCCGGATGACATGGCGTCCCAGTTTTCCAAAAAGAACTTCAAATTTTGATTCGTCTGACCACAGAACAGTTTTCCACTTTGCTAGAGTCCACTTTAAATGAGCCTTGACCCAGAGAAAACGCCTGCGCTTCTGGTTCCCGTTTAGATATGGCTTCTTTTTTGACCTATAGAGCTTTAGCCGGCAACGGTGAATGGCACGGTGGATTGTGTTCACTGACAATGTTTTCTGGAAGTATTCTTGAGCCCATGTTGTGATTTCCATTACAGTAGCATTCCTGTGTGTGATGCAGAGCCGTCTAAGGGCCCGAAGATCACGGGCATTCAGTATGGTTTTCCGGCCTTGACCCTTATGCACAGAGATTGTTCCAGATTCTCTGAATCTTTGGATGATATTATGCACTGTAGATGATGATAACTTCAAACTCTTTGCAATTTTTCTCTGAGAAACTTCTTTCTGATATTGCTCCACTATTTTTTGCCTCAGCATTGGGGGAATTGGTGATCCTCTGCCCATCTAGACTTCTGAGAGACACTGCGACTCTGAGAGGCTCTTTTTATACCCAATCATGTTGCCAATTGAGCTAATAAGTTGCAAATTGGTCCTCCAGCTGTTCCTTATTTGTACATTTAACTTTTCTGGCCTCTAATTGCTACCTGTCCCAACTTTTTTGGAATTTGTAGCTCTCATGAAATCCAAAAGGAGCCAATATTTGGCATGGCAATTCAAAATGTCTCACTTTCAACATTTGATATGTCATTTATATTCTATTGTGAATAAAATATAAGTTTATGAGATTTCTAAATTATTCCATTCTTTTTTTACTCACAATTTGTACAGTGTCCCAACTTTTTTGGAATCGGGTTTGTACATTATGAACATTCTCCTGTCATTCACTTTCCCTGGCAGGGATAATTTTAAAGATGACATCTAATGATTAATAAGTGCAAAAAAATAACATATAGCCACATATTTATTATCGACAAATGGATTATTTTGTCTGCACTCTTTAACATAAGTAAGCTCACGACCTGATTGCTGTGGTGGTTTCTGAAAGAAGGAAAACAAATTTATTAACACCATAAAAAAACAAATCATGAGTCAGAACAACCTGACTCAAATCAGGAATGCCGTTTTTTTCTTTCTTGATAAACTGGTTTCTCGAGTTCATTTTGAGTTTGTTCAATTGACACCATTTGGCGACAGTCAATAAGTACCGGACAGTTTTTTTATTTTTTTTATTATTATTATTTTTTGTGCAGGTATTGTTGTAATGCTTTTTGTAAATAAATATATATATATATATGTATATATAACAGTCACATGTACTTATAGTAATTACAATAACTGGATAGAAACTGTAACAAAAAACCCATTTTTTTGTTTTTAAATCTCATTATATTTATTTCCTTGCTCTTGCAATGCTTGCTATTGTTGTTTAATCGTATGATTGTGAGGTTTTACGGGATGTTTGTCTTCATGAGTAAGAGTAAGATTACAGGATGATTTTCTCTCGTTCTCTCGGCTAATAGAAGACTGATTTCTTGGCAGGGATTCAGTGCCCGGGGTCGGATCTAATCTCTCTGATATTTTTGATGTGGAGATCCATCCGTTCTAACAAATTCAAAGGTCTATATTTACCTGTAGCCGGTGTTGTTGTTGTTGCAGTTGACGTTTGAGTTGGTTGTGCAGTTGTTGTTGTTTCAGATGTTGTTGTTGTGTCAGTTGTTGTTTCAGATGTTGTTTGTGCAGTTGTTGTTTCAGATGTTGTTTGTGCCCTGGCTGTTAAAGAGAAAGAGATTATTAAATTCAGATTCATTTTTTTTAGATTCATTTTTTTAAACATATATTTACATAGTCTTTGCCACTTTAAAACTGATAATCAGACAGAAACTAAACCTTACTCAATGCCAGGACTGATATGAACACCAGCAGAAGCTGTGAAACCACAAATAATCTCATGATGAAGTCGGAGATAAAACGAGTATGTAGGAGTCCTTCTTCTGTAATCAGAGGGAGATTTATTATTCTCATTATACCGAAGTTAATCTTGAATAAATGTAACTGATAATAACTTTAAGAAATTAAATATTTTAAATTTTGAAATATGATTATAGGAGGCAATTTTTGATGCGATTGAAAAAAAAATCCAATATTCTAATAAAGGTCCATTTTATATAAATAAAAAATATTCGACTTACTGTTCTTCTAAGCTGTTCTTGCACCTGCTGTGAAGGAAGTTTGACTGATTTTTACCAGCACTTTTGGTTTTGGTTTGGTACACAGCCAACAATTCTTAAATAGATAAAATTCCTTCAAAATTAAGAATACTTTAGGCCTGTATACTCTTCACATCTCTAATACATAACAACAACAACAACAACAAAAAATTACTAAAAACTACTATGGTACACCATTCAGTGCCTGCAACATACTGTATCCAAAATATGATGACCATTCCCATGCACAATGGTATCACCACAGTACAGTGTGTTTAGTATGGTTTACACATCAAGTGTCTATCACACTGTGTATTGTACTCTGTTAGTGGAAAGATTTGAAATAAATTGCTATGCACAATCTATTCTTTTTATATATCTCGTTCAAAAGATTGAGTTCATGTATGGTACTAATTTACATTTCAAGTATTTTTCTGAGAGGTACATAAATTATACAAAGTAGAACAACAAAAATAAACTAAAATTATACTTTCTTATTTTTAGTTTAAAAGAAGAAAACTAATAGGACACTTGAATAAAATTATTTTTCATAAAGGGGTGACCTGTCAGCATCAGTTGCGTCACTTCTGCTATATTAACAAAAGTGTCCATCATACACACACTTCAGAATCTCACCAGAAATAGTAGGTCATCCGGGTACTTTTTGGCTACACTTTTACAAGTACTGTGAATTCAGACATACTTTTGTCACACACTATTTTTTTTTTTTGCCAAATAATATTGTAGGGAAGTATGCAATTTTGGATGCAGTCTTTTTCTAATACTTTATTCATCACTCTCAGGAACTAACATTCCCTGATTTTGCTTTGTTTAGGAAAACTTTACATTCTAAGTTAATGTGTGTCAATTCAGATGTGATGTCTCCTGATTTCTGACAGTCTTTAGCCCCACCTACTGGATGAGTTTAACATTACAGCTGAAGATTCAGCTTTTTTAAACTTCATTTGTTGACACATGACAAAGATTTGTAGACAAATAACAGGTTTATTAGCATTGTTTACATGCAGTTCAAAGTTAAAACCCCTAAGAAATCTGCTAACACAAAGCATGATAGTGGAAAAAAAGAAAAGAATGAATGATTATTTAAGATAGTTTATCTTATTAATTAAGTTGGAACATATGTGATTAGTGTATTAATTAATTTATTATCTAATTTGATCATCATTTTCATCATATTTATGCTCATTTATTATTTTGTTAGAGAGTAATAAGTTCAAGGGTGAGAAACTATAAAGGTTCCCTTCCTGCAACATTCAAGGCATACATCTTCAAGGTCACCATTTGAAGTCCCTTCCATGTATTACGGTGTCTTTTCAACTTTTCTTAACTTCATCTCAAAGAAATTTGACACTCCACGATTGACCAGCTCTTGTTTAAACTGAAACAAAGATGGACAGATAGATCAAAATGTATTTCCATTGTACTGTAGGTTAATAAAGTCACCAATGTCAGATTATAAGGTTAGACATAGGCTATAAGATAAGAGTCAGTTTTTGTTTTTCTCTCTCTGAAGCAGAAATGTGCTTTTGTTTGAAAAGTGTGACTTACTTGCTGCAAAACATACTCAGCATTTCCAGGCTGTGTCAGGTCTAAAAATGAGCTAAGTTTCAATTGAACTCCAATGACATTTTCTAAAAGGAAACACACATAATAAGGCATAATAACACACACAAATATACAGTATACTGTATATATATACACAGGCCTGTATAGACCGATAATTCACAATAGGCCCTAAGGCCAAATCACATCCGTTCTGATAGAGCCATATCGCAAAGCGACTTGTGTGACATTGCGTTCATACAACAGTTCGTCGAGACGTGTGTAAATAAAAAAGAAACAAGAACAGAGTGGCTATTTTGTGTGGAAAAAACTTCCTTCCGCCATGGATTTAAATCTCAAGTTGACTTTATAACAAGTAACAAAGGAACATTGAGTTGCTTCATTGAAGCTTATTGATGGGCTCTGCACGACGGCATTTCCTGTGGAAAAAAAACTATAAAGTTTTAGGGCTGGATATGATGAATTGGCTATATATAACACTGATATAAGTGATCACCCGGATTTAGACCTACCTATATTGTATTAATATAAAGTGTTCACAGGCAAATTTGCTTTATGTTTAGGTCTATTTTGCTTTTATTTCCCCGGTGTCGAAATCAGGCAAAGATAAATGTCAGGCAACACGATTCCTGACTGGATGTCAATGTCCATGGATCACTGGATCTTTAGTAAGTTGAAAGGAACACTATATTGAGTCCAAAATTTAGTTTAAATTGATAAAATTGTTCGTTTTAGTCGTATTTTTGCAGTTTCCCCTATTAAATCCAGTCACGCACGCAGCTTGCCACTCAGTCAGGCTGAGGAGGGTTGTTCCTACGGGAAAGTGACGTCAATGCATTCACTCTAATGGTTCTATCAATGGCTAAAGAAACGTTACTCACTAAAATAGACACCCCTAATTTTGTTTATGCTTCTTTATTTATTATATTAAATAAACATGTATAAAATTACATCTAAACTTATTACAGTTTAGTTTCAAAGACGGGTGGAAGGTAAATTTTGAAGACTCTGCCATAATCCCGTTTTCCTCGGTTTTCCCTCTCTATGGGGTTTCCTCCGCTTTAATCTCCCCAACGAAGAGCAGTCTTGCGTCAAATGCGGAAAGTATATGCGTGCATAGCCTATTATGTAAGTAGGCCTAGAGTATTATGAGAAAGAAGTGCATTACTTCCGCTCTATTTAATTTGCATCTAGCTGTTATTCTTCTGGACAATCTTATTTCCATAAGCACAAAATCAGTTTGAATGTCCGCTGAGAGAGACTTTTTTTCCTTTCAACAGTTAGGCGATTTCCATGACAGCTCTAGTCAGTGCATTTGTAAATTGATTGCTTAAAACCTTTTTTCAATCCCTTTCAAAATAAAAGTATATTTGCTAATGACTCACTCTTAAAGACAGTCTAATGGTGTAATAATGGAGCTAACTAAAACCCTTTCTCAATATCAAATATGGCATGTTATTGATGTAAAATAATATTTATTTAAAAAAATATTCATTTAAACAATATTATAAATTATGTAAATATAAGAAGTTTGTAGAATAGAAAATAAACAACCAAACAGTAAAAGCATCATTTTGATGAAACTCCTACCTGTTCCGTTGTTCACAAGAAAGGCCCAGCGACCGGGAACATTTACGTTACTCATGTTATTGAGGTTTGGGAGGTTGCCATTTAAATCATAATGAATGACATAGTAGTCAGTGGAGTTTATTGTGTCAAATCCAGCCTATTAAAACCATGAAAAACTAATGTTATGCAAGATAGTCTACAGAACCAATTTCAAATATTATTTCAATCCTTTGATGTTTGTTTTACCTCCACTGGAAAATATGAACCAGCACAGTCCCCATAATTCATCAGAATGAAAGAAAAATCACCTCCTGAAATTAAAACCAACTGAAAGGTGATTGCCTAAAAAACAAAAAAACAAAACAAAAAACAATATCATGATTGATAGTCTACACAGTCTGTGACCTTGTGCCTGAAAAAGATAAAAGTAAAATAAACTACTTACCGGTGCTGAGTGAAGATTTAATACATTCAGATCAAATGCGTGAACATAGTCCCATGTTGCAACAAAGACCCAAGAAGCAAAAAAGGTCTTATGAGGGAAATACTGGTTTATATCCTGAGTGGCACGAGTGAGCACACTTCCATCAGTGTACTCCTGATACCAGTATCTGCCATATCCAATGTCATCAAGCTCAGTCCAGAGCGGAGCAATGAAATCTTCACTTCCATATGCGGGAAATTGGTAAGGGTGAGCTTCTGGTAAAGGTTGGTTGAATGAAAGGAGTCCGTTATTATTAACCTGAAATAAGAAAAATCAGTTCAAATCCACCAGTAAAGTATGAGCTGGATTATCACAACGTTTGCATTCATATTAGACGAGCAATGGAACTGGAATTGGTGATAGAGGGAATTCTCACGTATGCGTCGTTGTACTTGCGGCCAAAGAACATAAATGGCTTGGAGAAGGGAACATATATGTAGGATTCACCACCAGTTTCAAGCTGTTCTATGTCTCCTGCCGCTGCGCCGAATGGATAGAAAATCGCTGGTGCTGCAAATAGAATCAACACAAAAAATACAAATGAAGATGTGAGTTTTTTACCAGTCAGAATATCATAATTATGGCGATTCTGAACGAACCATTGATTCAAAAGTCAGTATAAATACCTGTCCATGGAGTTGTTGTTGTTGGAATGGCTGTTAAAGAAAAAGAGTATTCAATTATTAAACACTTCTGTAAAGTACATTGAAAGATGCATTGCATATGATCATATGATGAGTCGTCTAACAGTCGCAGTATTTTTACTTGTTGAGACTGTGGTGGTTGCTGTGGTGGTTGCTGAAAGAATAAACACAAATACCATTAAATACCTCATGAACACACTTAAAGATTGTAAATGGGTTTCCTAAATGTAACATATATGCATTACATTCAAGTCCTATGTATAACATTCAATTATAAAACACTTAGCCCTATGTAAAATACATAAAAAATTAATTCGCCCGGACATGTTGGCACGTTTACAACACTGCATGAGAGGGACTATTTGAAAAACCATAATAGGGGCACTTGAACTAATTTTAACACATTCATACACCCGGCACAATAGGGTGGCAGGCGCAACGCAAGTGTTTTTTGCTAGTTTCAGCCCGACGCAGTTATCATTTTCATGTCCTGGGCCACGTTGTTTAAATAGCAAATGCAATTGCACCATCTGTTCGCTCATGGGCATGCTTTTCTGAAAATGAGATGTGTTCGGGTGCATTATTGGCGTGTTGCTATTTTGAGGCAAATGAAATAAACTACTATTTTTAATATTTGGCATGTTTGTGTGCTTGTTTGTTGTTAATAAGCAGAGTGTATGCACCCCCTTATAGATGCACATTACTAACATGCTTTTTAAATAACAAAAAAATATTGCGCCATTGACCAACTGAAACCTGGTCTAAAGTCAATGGCGCAATATTTTTTGGTTATTTAAAAAGCAATAGTAGTAAGTAAATAAAGTTTATTTATACAGCACTTTTTTACAGACAGAGTCACAAAGTGCTTTACAATAGACATTAAAACATAGCGGAAAAAGAAACAGTCTAAGACAAAAATAAAAAAACAACAGATAAAATTATCAATAAACCAAAGAGAGAGATTACCCAGCTAACCTGAACAATTGAGTCTTCACTTGTCCCTTCAAACGGTCAACATTTTCAGCAAACCTAATGCTAGTTGGCAGAGCTTTCTAGAGTTTGGGTCCCATAGCGGCAAAGGCTGTATCCCCACGTCTTTAGACGAGTACGTGGCGTAGATAGATAGCAGATTTTGGTTGTTAGACCTGAGAGACCGGAAGGTGGTGTGTAGGAGAATTATGTTGGCAAGATAAGCAGGGGCCTGGCCATATAGAGCCCTATATGTTATGGTAAGAATTTTGAATTGGATCCTGTAAGTTACAGGAAGCCGGTGAAGGGAGCAGAGTAGAGGGGTGAAATGGGTGCACCTATTTGATCTAGTAATAGCCTAGCAGATTGCAGATGGTGAAGGAAAGATTTGTTGAGGGAGAAGAGTGAGTTGAAATAGTCAATACAGGAGATAAAGACATGAATGAGCATCTCCAGTTCTGACTTAGAGACAATAGCCCTCAATTTGCTAATGTTGCATTAGGAGGAAAAAACAATAGCTTGTCCCCTAGGTGGCAGTATTAGCTCAGCCAAAACAGAATGTAGCACTGAGCGGGCCGGGTCTAAGTGTTCAGTAAAAACCCCAAATAGACGCTACCTCGTTGTCCGTCTTCCTTTACTAGTACATAGTATACTACACATTTGAAATGTGTATCAAAAATACACATTCCAAGAAAAAGTCTTTGTTCTTGGAAGAGAAGTGGGGTCAATCCATTGCAAGTGGTCCATTGGAAGGTGTAATATTACCTTTACAAATAATGTAATTTAGTGCAAGAGTTAAAGGGATAGTTCACTTTGAAATTCATTTTTGATATGTTTTAGCTTACCTCAAGGGCATGTGTCTTTGTTTCCGCAGTATTTTCAATTTTGATATTTTTAGGTCAAACCGTTCTTGTCTGTCAGTCATATAATGCAGGTCTATGGTCACCACCTCAAAGAGCATGCACAGACAAGTCCAAATTAAACATGATTTAATGACTCGTAAATGTAAGGACACATTGATGGCCTAAGACACGAAGCGAGTGGTTTGTGTGAGAAAACGAACAGTATTTATGTCGTTTTTTACCTCTTGTTACCACAGCCACGTCCAAGTGATCTGAGGGCACGGGCGCTTCAGTCTGGCCAACGCCAAAAGTGATCTCTCGTATGTCACTCATTGCTTACACATAGATTTCATAAGTGTTACCTTTCAATGTGAAGATCTAAACATAGATATACAGGAAATCCCAATGGCAGACGATTTCGATATATCAACAGAAAATGTTGATTTTTATTCGCAACTGCGCGAAAGATCAATTCCGGCGCTTTCCAGGGCTTGTGCAGACCGAAGCGCCCGAAGAGGTAAAAAATTATATAAAAACTGTTCGTTTTCTCACACAAACCGCTCGTTTCGTGTCTTAGGTCATCAATGTGTACTTACATTTACGAGTCATTAAATCATGTTTAATTTGGACTTCTCTGAGCATGCTCTTTGAGGTGAACCGAGGGGAGGACACTGATAGACAACAACGGTTTGACCGAAAAATATCAAAATTGAAAGTACTGCGGAAACAAAGACACCTAAATCTTGGATGCCCTTGAGGTAAGCTAAAACATACCAAAAATTCATTTCAAAGTGAACTATCCCTTTAAAGCAAAACAATATACACTCTAAAAATGCTGGGTTGTTTTAACCCATCTTTGGGTCAAATATGGACAAACTCAGCCATTGGGTTAAATGTTTAAATTACATTTTTAACCCAACATTTGGGGTTGTCCATATTTTACCCAAATTTGGGTTAAAACAAACCAGCATTTTTTTTAGAGTGTGGAGAATTATATAATGGCCTTTGATGCTGATTGGTCAATAGCATTTTGTGTGTGTGTGTGTGTGTGTGTGGCTAGGCTACAGCTAACCGAACAGACCTGTGTATTACTGCACAACACCCATCAAAATCCAACAATATACTGTTAAAACAGTTCCATGTGTGTTTCAGCCTTAATTAACTAATTTATTTAATGAAGTACAAGTCTCACATTCTGGTGTTACTGTATGTTATAAAAAAAATGGGAACAGTTCCTTGTCTCTGTTTTTGTTTGAGCTGCTCCATTAGATGAGGCGTTACATTATGAACATTCTCCTGTCATTCACTTTCCCTGCAGGGACTATTTTGATTAATGAGTGCAAAAAAGTAACATATAGCCACATATTTATTATCGACAAATGGATTATTTTGTCTGCACTCTTTAACATAAGTAAGCTCACGACCTGATTGCTGTGGTTGTTTCTGAAAGAAGGAAAACAAATTTATTAACACCATAAAAAAACAAATCATGAGTCAGAACAACCTGACTCAAATCAGGAATGCCGTTTGTTTCTTTCTTGATAAACTGGTTTCTCGAGTTCATTTTGAGTTTGTTCAATTGACACCATTTGGCGACAGTCAATAAGTACCGGACAGTTTTTATTTTTTTTTTATTATTATTATTTTTTGTGCAGGTATTGTTGTAATGCTTTTTGTAAATAAATAAATATATATATATGTATATATAACAGTCACATGTACTTATAGTAATTACAATAACTAGATAGAAACTGTAACAAAAAACCCATTTTTTGTTTTTAAATCTCATTATATTTATTTCCGTGCTCTTGCAATGCTTGCTATTGTTGTTTAATCGTATGATTGTGAGGTTTTACGGGATGTTTGTCTTCATGAGTAAGAGTAAGATCACAGGATGATTTTCTCTCGTTCTCTCGGCTAATAGAAGACTGATTTCTTGGCAGGGATTCAGTGTCCGGGGTCAGATCTAATCTCTGATATTTTTGACGCGGAGATCCATCCGTTCTAACAAATTCAAAGGTCTATATTTACCTGTAGCCGGTGTTGTTGTTGCAGTTGACGTTTGAGTTGGTTGTGCAGTTGTTGTTGTTTCAGATGTTGTTGTTGTGTCAGTTGTTGTTGTTTGTGCCCTGGCTGTTAAAGAGAAAGAGATTATTAAATTCAGATTCATTTTTTTTAAACATATATTTACATAGTCTTTGCCACTTTAAGACTGATAATCAGACAGAAACTAAACCTTACTCAGTGCCAGGACTGATATGAACACCAGCAGAAGCTGTGAAACCAGAAATAATCTCATGATGAAGTCGGAGATAAAACGAGTATGTAGGAGTCCTTCTTCTGTAATCAGAGGGAGATTTATTATTCTCATTATACCGAAGTTAATCTTGAATAAATGTAACTGATAATAACTTTAAGAAATTAAATATTTTCAATTTTGAAATATGATTGTAGGAGGCGATTTTTGATGCGATTGAAAAAAAAAATCCAATATTCTAATAAAGGTCCATTTTATATAAATAAAAAATATTCGACTTACTGTTCTTCTAAGCTGTTCTTGCACCTGCTGTGAAGGAAGTTTGACTGATTTTTATCAGCAATGCGTAAAGAGAAAATAACGTCCTGTCATGGAAGAATGTTTTTTGGGTTTGTTTTGGAAAACAGCCAACAATTCTTAGATAGATCAAATTCCTTCAAAATTAAGAATACTTTAGGCCTGTATACTCTTCACATCTCTATTACATAACCAAAAAAACAAAAACAAAAAACGACTAAAAACTACTATGGTACACAATTCAGTGCCTGCAACATACTGTATCAAAAATATGATGACCATTCCCATGCACAATGGTATCACCACAGTACAGTGTGTTTAGTATGGTTTACACATCAAGTGTCTATCACACTGTGTATTGTACTCTGTTAGTCAGTGGAAAGATTTGAAATAAATTGCTATGCACAATCTATTTTTTTTATATATCTCATTCAAAAGATCATGTATGGTACTAATATACATTTCAAGTATATTTCTGAGAGGTACATAAATTATACAAAGTAGAACAACGAAAATAAACTAAAATTATACTTTCTTATTTTTAGTTTAAAAGACGAAAACTAATAGGACACTTGAATAAAATTATTTTTCATAAAGGGGTGACCTGTCAGCATCAGTTGCGTCACTTCTGCTATTAACAAAAGTGTCCATCATATACACACTTCAGAATCTCACCAGAAATAGTAGGTCATCCGGGTACTTTTTGGCTACACTTTTACAAGTACTGTGAATTCAGACATACTTTTGTCACACACTATTTTTTTTTTTTGCCAAATAATATTGTAGGGAAGTATGCAATTTTGGATGCAGTCTTTTTCTAATACTTTATTCATCACTCTCAGGAACTAACATTCCCTGATTTTGCTTTGTTTAGGAAAACTTTACATTCTAAGTTAAAGTCAAATGAATTAGATATTGCACACTTGTTTGTAAAATGTTTTTTTTTTTCTTTTTTTTTTGGAAACAGATTATAGTTTGTTAATGGTTTAAAAATGAATGCAGTGATTAAGTGTCCCGCTTGAATAAACAAAAAAATCTTAAAACACTTTGGAAATATGTCATTTAAGTAGACAAGTGGTCAAGTGTGTGTATTTGAACAGGCCCAGTGACATCCACTGTAAAGATTTACAGTAACTCAAATATCAACATAAAACCTTGAAATGTGCATAGACAGAAAATGCTTGTGTAGAGAAACTTGTGTTTAAATCCACATGTAGGTGTATTTGTTTTAATAAATAACACAACCTTTCTTGATTTGGTATACCCAACAGCCCTCAGTATGAACTACAACAGGTATAGGCTTTTTAATGTTTAGGCCGATTAACACTATGATATGCCATGTCAGCAAAGACTTGTGAAAGAGGCCTGTGTGTACTAAATCGAGTACAGAATATCACTGTCAGTTTAAGTCTCAAGACTTAATCTAATTAAATCACAAACAGTTTTGCAATGTTAGCAATGCGACGCATTTCATGAAGCATGCTATGATGCTGGAATCTCGATAACTCTCTCTAAACGTCTGTCTCCCCCTTGTGTGAGCCATGAAACATGTGCTTTAATTCACATTAGAGTTTTTCAATTTACTGTTACAGTTATCACACACCTCACAATATAACATCAACCTTTTTATTTTGAGGAAAACATTTAAAGCTAAATCTATGTAGCCAAATACTTAATAATATCTCTATAAATGAGCAAATAGGCTTATTTCCAGTAGCACCTCATTGATACTAACATAATACTAACTCGTGGCCACAAGATAGTAACTCGTGGCCTCAAGATAGTAAGTTAGTATCTTGAGGCCACAAGATAGTTATAATCATTTTTTTTTTTTTACCAAAGTGGGACTAGAGGGGCTCCGTAAGTTTCTAAACATAATGGCAATTATGTACCTTGTAGATTATTTTGATCTGGTTCACCCTGAAGGCCCATCGACCTTGAACATTTACATTACTTGTTCATAATGTTTGGAATAACATTCCCATTGATAGATCCAGGACTCACAAAGTAGGCTGTGGAGTTTATTGTGTCATAACCAGCCTGCACAAACAAGGGAATTACCAATTATTGAGACAGAACATCAAGAAGAGATGGGCATATTGTGTGTATAAAGGCATGTTTTATCTGCACCGCAATTTGTACCACAGCGCAGTCACCATAAAAAGACAAATCACCGCAAGAAATGAACACCCCTTGAATCAATGTTTTTCCTGCAAAGTTTGGGAACACTGAATGTCACAGCAGCTCTGAGAATAGTGTAACCTTGAGCCTGAAGGGGTTTTAATAAACTAACTTACTGTGCCAGAGGCAAAAAAGTCTTCAACTCCATCCCAAGAAGCAACAAGGACCCAAGTAGCCGTGAAGCTCAAATACGGGAAATACTGGTTTATATCCTGAGTGGCTTGAGTTAGCACACTTCCATTAGAGTACTGCTGATGAGATTATGCCATTCATACTGACGTCAATATCTGTCCAGAGCGGAGCAATGACGTCTTCAGTTCCAATGGGAAAGTAATTCACGTAAAACTCAGACGAAGACTGGTTGAATGTAAGGTGCCCGTTATTATTAACCTGGGTAATAAAAAGATATTAGTCATCCCTGTCACATTTTTCTCATTCACCGTTTGCATTAGCAAAACAGAACTGGATACTCACATATGTGTTGTTGTATGTGCGGCCAAAGAACACAAAAGGTCTCCACAGGTCGATAAGAGTGGAGTAAAATCGGGCTCTAATTATCATAGCGCTGAAGGGAGTGACGTGTTCCCTCAGTATTTGAAACGCATTCAGAATAACAAAGACTGGAATTCTCACTACACAACTTTTTAACTTCCACTTTCTTTGTATCTAAAACCCACGGTTGGCAAAAACTAAAACATTCCTGGCTATTTACCTACACTGACTTCATGGTAAAGGCCTCAAATGTCGTCTAGACCATAGATATGTATATAAAGGCTAGATGTGTTACGGAGGAGTTTCCATCGTCATCACCGGCGGCCATCTTGTAACAGACAAGCTGATGTAAGATGAGTGGTCAGCACGAACACAAATACTCGTAATATCTTGACGGATTTACAAACGGATTGGTTTCTTACAAACGTTATTAACGTGGCTACAATTATCTGGATGATTATTTATTTATACACTTTTTATTCATAAGTATGCAGTGTCATAACTACATCTCTGACGTTTATAACAAAACAAACCGTTTGAAAATCGGTAGAAAATTGAGCAAGTTATGGTCATTTAAACAGTACATGTACCATTAACACAATGTTACGAGTGAGCGAGCTGCCTGTGACAAGATGGCTGCCAGGTGCAGACGTCGACCTCCATTGGCCAGCAGCGTGGACGACATATCTAGCCTTTACTGTAGATATCTATGGTCTAGACAGGCTTCTCATGTTCTGCATTGAGGTGCTACTGGAAATGTGTGTCAATTCAGATGTGATGTCTCCTGAATTCTGACAGTCTTTAGCCCCACCTACTGGATGAGTTTAACATTACAGCTGAAGATTCAGCTTTTTTAAACTTCATTTGTTGACACATGACAAAGATTTGTAGACAAGGAACAGGTTTATTAGCATTGTTTACATGCGGTTCAAAGTTGAAACCCCTAAGAAATCTGCTAACACAAAGCATGATAGTGGAAAAAAAGAAAAGAATGAATGATTATTTAAGATAGTTTATCTTATTAATTAAGTTGGAACATATGTGATTAGTGTATTAATTAACTTATTATCTAATTTGATCATAATTTTCATCATATTTATGCTAATTTGTTATTTTGTTAGCGAGTAATAAGTTCAAGGGTGAGAAACTATAAAGGATCCCTTCCTGCGACATTCAAGGCATACATCTTCAAGGTCACCATTTGAAGTCCCTTCCATGTATTACGGTGTCTTTTCAACTTTTCTTAACTTCATCTCAAAGAAATTTGACACTCCACGATTGACCAGCTCTTGTTTAAACTGAAACAAAGATGGACAGATCAAAATGTATTTCCATTGTACTGTAGGTTAATAGTCACTAATGTCAGATATAAGGTCAGACATAGGCTATAGAGTCCTTTTTCTCTCTCTCTGAGGCAGAAATGTGCTTTTGTGTGAAAAGTGTGACTTACTTGCTGCAAAACATACTCAGCTTTTCCAGGCTGTGTCAGGTCTAAAAATGAGCTAAGTTTCAATTGAACTCCAATGACATTTTCTAAAAGGAAACACACATAATGAGGCATAATAACACACACAAATATACAGCATATTGTATATATAAGTTCAAGGGTGCGAAACTATAAAGGAAACTATAAAAGAAACTAAAACTATTAACTATATATGGGTCAATGACGTATAAGGATTTTCCACTGGCCAATTTTAAAATACTAAAAATAATAATATCTGTTGCAATTGTTCAAACATTAAGGATGTTGTGTACACCTAAATTCATTTTAAAAATTGAATTTAAGTGATTTTAGTGTTTTTTCATCTAGATGAATTGTCCATAGCCTTAAAAAATGTCATGTGGTGCGACCGTGATTTATCTTAAAATGTATTAATTTCCTTAACATGCTTAAACATTATTTTACAAGTTCTTAGTAAGTAAAGTGTTTAGAAACCAAGTATTTGCAATTCTTTTGAGTTTTTGTAAATAACGATCTCATTTTTTGTTCTATAATTTCTGAGTTGCCTTCTTAAATCTAGTTAACAGACTTATTTTTCCTATAAATCACACAAAACTGATAGAAATGTTTTAACAATCTAATTTCCTGAAGCATACCATATCTGTGATTCATATTTCAGCCACAGAAATAAAATATATATTTTTTTAATTTAATACAGTGATTGCTTTTATTGGTCGCACCACATGACAAGTGGTCGCTCCAAATGACACGAAGACCTTATATAGTTAAAAATCTATTTAAAGAGATCAATGAACAATACATTTTATACAAAAAAATGATTTAAACCATATTTTATACAAATTTCAAAGAATTTTCTTGAACATTAACATTTATTAAACTTTTTTTTATAAAAATCACATCACAAACACAAGTGCACCATTTAATTTAACTTGACTTTCTTTCTAACAAATAATAATGTTATATATATATATATATTAAATAAAGATGTTTTATATTTTGTAAATGTCCTAACAGGAATGTATAAACATTTATTTTTGTGAGTGAATATAGCAATATTGCAAACATAAATGGACAACCTTAAAGGCGATTTTCTCAGTGTTTCGATTTTGTAGCACCCTCAGATTCTAGATTTTCAGTTGTATCGGCCAAATATTGTTCTATCCAAACAAATCATACATCAATAGAAAGCTTATTTATTCAGCTTTCATATGATGTATAAATCTCAATTTAAAATAATTGTGTGATGGATGTGACCCATATGACATTGACCCATTGATTGGTTTTGTGGTCTAGGGTTGCATGTTAGAATGATTTCTGAAGGATCATGTGACACTGAAGACTGGAGTAATGATGCTGAAAATTCAGCTTTGATCACAGGAATAAATTAAAGTTTACTATATTTTCACATAGAAACCAGATATTTTAAACTGTAATAATATTTCACTCTTCTTCTCTACTCCGCTCTTGCTGCTGGGTAAGAATTTTTTTGCTTGGAAGGCAGTGGCATCTGGTAAAATAGATTAAAATAGTTTTAAATAAATAAATAGGCAATAATAAATACACTACAAATAAATGCAGTATTACTAAACTGAAATTACATGCTCTATTTATTTTTTTTTTGCATTTTTCTCATATTGTACAAAGAGTGAACATAAACTGTCTGAAATACATTAAAAAAAATCCCAAATTGCATAAAAATCTTTTCCAAATGATACTAAAGTAAAGTACTTTTTTAAAATAAACCGCCGATTGAATATAAAAGCATAAAACTGCCAATTTAGGACATATATCTATAATTGAAAACAGTCTGCAGTGGTCGCACCACATGATATTTGGTCGCACCACATGACATTTTCAAATTCATTCATAATTTACAGGCACAGAAATGGCCACCAAAACAAAATAAGCTAGCTTGCCAAAAAAGGTCACTATGAAATTTATAATAAAAATATATATTTGTAGAAATAACTTTAATATTAAATTTTTTTGAGGTCATACCACATGACATCCAAATTTGGCAACTACATACCAACCATTACAAAGGTTTATTTTTTTTCCAATTTGAGAGAATCACAAACCTGCCTGCTGCTTCCATGGGTCCTTGGTAAATTGGTTTATGATGTAACTTCCTGTGTTTGAATAGTTTTCAACATATAAGTCCCAAAATGGTAGTTCTTTGATGGTCGCACCACATGATATTTCATAAAATAGACATCATCGGACAAAGTTTGTTTGTATATTATGATGGGAATATAAATGGAAATGCTTAGAATTTTTTTAAAGGATTACAAAACATTTTGGAAATCATGCCAAATAGTGCAGTATATAAATTTGAATTAATTCAGAGTAATTTCAAAGATGTTTTCAAAACAGAAGTTATGGCCGGACGGTCGCACCACATGATGTTTTGACACTTTAAATAACAAAATAATAACAAATAAGTAAGGTTTTTGAAAAGTTAAAGTGAGTACATACATGAGAGAGGTACTACAAATATGCAGTATCTTTTTAGGCATTTAAACCCATTTTTGCCTGAAAAAATGCAGTCGGACAGAAAATGTAGGCGTCACGTCATTGACCCATATATATATATATATATATATACAGGCCTGTATAGACCGATAATTCACAATAGGCCCTAAGGCCAAATCACATTCGTTCTGATAGAGCCATATCGCACAGCGACTTGTGTGACATTGCGTTCATACAACAGTTCGTCGAGACGTGTGAAAATAAATAAGAAACAACAACAGATTGTATTTAAAAACACTCTTTTGTGCGGAAAAAACTTCCTTCCGCCATGGATTTAAATCTCAAGTTGACTTTATAACAAGTAACGAAGGAACATTGAGTTGCTTCATTGAAGCTTATTGATGGGCTCTGCACGACGGCATTTCTGGTGAAAAAAAAAACTATAAAGTTTTAGGGCTGGACGATATGATGATATAGGCTATATATGACACTGATATAAGTGATCACCCGGATTTAGACCTACCTATATTGTATTTATAAAAAGCGTTCACAGACAAATTTGCTTTATGTTTAGGTCTGCTTTTATTTCCCCGGTGTGGAAATCAGGCAAACATAAATGTCAGGCAACACGATTCCTGACTGGATGTCAATATCCATGGATCACTGGATGCAGCAGTAAGTAAGTTAGATAGTAAGTTGTAATATTGAGTCCAACATTTTGTTTAAATTGATCAAATTGTTCATTTTAGTCTCATTTTTACAGTTTCCCCTATTAAATCCAGTCACGCAGCAGATCTTTTGCCACTCAGTCAGGCTGAAGATTGTTCCAGCGGGAAAGTGACGTCAATGCATTCACTCTATTGGTTATTATACTCTATGGCACTAAAACCCTTTCTCAATTACAAATACGGCATGTTATTGATGTAAAATAATATTCATTAAAAAAAATGATTCATTTTAACAATATTAGAAATTATGCAAGTATACGAAGTTTGCACTGTAGAATGGAAAATAAACAACCGAACAGTTCAGTCCAAATGCAAAAGCGTTTTCATCATTTTGATGAAACTCCTACCTGTTCCGTTGTTCACAAGAAAGGCCCAGCGACCGGGAACATTTACGTTACTCATGTTCTTGAGGTTTGGGAGGTTGCCAAAAACATCATAATGAATGACATGGTAGTCAGTGGAGTTTATTGTGTCAAATCCAGCCTATTAAAACCATGAAAAGTTAATGTTAGGCAAGATACAGAGCCAATTTAAAATATTATTTCAATCCTTTGATGTTTGTTTTACCTCCACTGGAAAATATGAACCAGCACAGTCCCCATAATTCATCAGAATGAAAGAAAAATCACCTCCTGAAATTAAAACCAATTGAAAGGTGATTGCCTGAAAAAAACAAAAAAACAAAAAATCATGATTGATAGTCTACACAGTCTGTGACCTTGTGCCTGAAAAAGATAAAAGTAAAATAAACTACTTACCGGTGCCGAGTGAAGATTTAATACATTCAGATCAAATGCGTGAACATAGTCCCATGTTGCAACAAAGACCCAAGAAGCAAAAAAGGTCTTATGAGGGAAATGCTGGTTTATATCCTGAGTGGCGCGAGTGAGCACACTTCCATCAGTGTACTCCTGATACCAGTATCTGCCATATCCAATGTCATCAAGCTCAGTCCAGAACGGAGCAATGAAATCTTCAATTCCATATGCAGGAAATTGGTAAGGGTGAGCTTCTGGTAAAGGTTGGCTGAATGAAAGGAGTCCGTTATTATTAACCTGAAATAAGAAAAATCAGTTCTTCAAATCCACCAGAAAAGTATGAGCTGGCTTATTACAACATTTGCATTCATATTAGACGAGCAATGGAACTGGAATTGGAGATAGAGGGAATTCTCACGTATGCGTCGTTGTACTTGCGGCCAAAGAACATAAATGGCTTGGAGAAGGGAACATATATGTAGGATTCAGTACCCATTTCAATCTGTTCTGTGTCTCCTGCCGCTGCGCCGAATGGATAGAAAATCGCTGGTGCTGCAAATAGAATCAACACAAAAAATACAAATGAAGATGTGAGTTTTTACAAGTCAGAATATCATAATTACGCCGATTCCGAAGTGAACGAACCATTGATTCAAAAGTCAGTATAAATACCTGTCCATGGAGTTGTTGTTGGAATGGCTGTTAAAGAAAAAAAGTATTCAATTATTAAACACTTCTGTAAAGTACATTGAAAGATGCATTGCATATGATCATATGATGAGTCGTCTAACAGTCGCAGTATTGTTACTTGTTGAGACTGTGGTGGTTGCTGTGGTGGTTGTTGTGGTGGTTGCTGAAAGAATAAACACAAATACCATTAAATACCTCATGAACACACTTATAAATGGGTTCTCCAAAAATGGTTCTCCATGGCTGGCAGCCGTATTACCTGGTAGGACTGTGGTGGTTTTAGTGGGGGTTACTGAAAGAAAAGAAAATGTGTCATAAAAAAAACAAACAAACATTAAATTATAAAACGCTTATGTAAAATGCATAAAAATGTTTCATGGGTGTATGATATTTGACTTGCAACTCAATTAGTTCACCCCATACTTATGAAATTAGAAATAAACACAAGCCCAGACATGTTTTAGCTTGCAAAAATTAAGATATTTGAAGAAACTAGCTTTACAAGCACAAAATTGCCCAAGACATTCAAGGTTTCCATTAAAAGCAATGGGTTCACTGGCCAAATCAGTACATTTCAGCAGTTATTTTACCATCATTAACATACTACATTTCTATTTTCCGTATGCATTTCACTTTGTTGTGTAAATGCAGCCAACGACTGTGATAAACTCATGACTAATGAGTGCTAGGACTGTGGTCGTGATTTCAGTGGAGGTGGGTTCTGAAAGAAGGAACACAAATACAAACGCAATTAAACTCCTAATAAACTCATTTGACAAAAATAGTTTTCTTTCCTAATGAAGATGCTCTCTTACTTCTTAGCGTTTCATATTGGGTTTGTTCAAATGACACCAGAAACGACATTTTCTAAACAGATACGGTAGTCTAAATGGTCTAAATACCTCACAATGTTCTAGAGAGAATTTACAAATAACAACATATTGAGTCATGTATAAAAAGTCATCTACATTTTTGGTCTTTTTTTCTTGAAAGAGAATGGGGAATACTGAATACTGTAATTTAGTGTAGTGTAGAGTTAAGACAAAAGTTTATTATGAGCTCAAAAATAACAGTCCTCGACAAAAAGCAACAAAATACCTTTTCTGAAGAGACATGGTCGCTTTACATGAGGAACTTAGGCTTTATATGTTATATTTTTGAAATTAGGCTTTTTCATATTTATCAACTCACTCATTAGTTGTGCTTTGCAAACATGCTTTGAGCTTCTGCAAGAACCAATGAGATTCATTCTCGTGTTACAAGAGGTAAAAACAATATAAATACTGTTCGTTTTCTCACAAAAAACCTCTCGTTTCGTGTCTTAGGCCATCAATGTGTACTTATATTTACGAGTCATTAAATCATGTTTAATTTTGACTTCTCTGTGCATGCTCTTTGAGGTGGTGACCATAGACCTTCATTATATGACTGACAGACAAGAACGGTTTGACCTAAAAATATCAATGTGTCTGTGGAAACAAAGACATACACCTTGGATGCCCTTGAGGTAAGCTAAAACATATCAAAAATTCATTTCAAAGTGAACTATCCCTTTAAAGGTGCCATATGTAATAATTGAGGTTAAAATATATCAAAAATGAGCTACATGCATCAAAAGAATGAGAAGAAATAAGTGCAATGATGTCTTTAAAAAGTTGACAAGTTATACTGCTGCCGAGATATAAACCTAAATTAGCATGCTAATTTACTAGCCACGGCCCGTCAGGTGTTGTAATACCAGTTTCGGCCATGGGCGGCGGTAAGCGGGGAACACAACCAGCATTCACACTGTAATCCACGAATAACTCGCACGGCTTGTGGGCGTACTTGAACCTGATGTCAATCATGTTAAAAGTACAGCCCATTACTACATTTCACTTCAGAGAAGAGACGAGTGCGGAAAAATGTCTGAAGCACTTGGCAAGAGAGCCTTAGCCACACCACAACCACCCGTTGCAGGGAAAAAACCTCGCACAGATGCTCAAAAAAAATCGGACAAAAAAAGGAGCAGAACCAGAGTCAATATAGGCACTGCTTTCCATCGCTGGCGACTTTTAATGGAAAAGAAAGAAATGAAGTTCGACTCCGAACTAGCAACATTTCTTTTGGATCGGTAAGTAAGATGCTTTTAGTTTTTCCACTTGAATTTTGTTTTATATGTTTGTGGAATTTTTTCGGGAAGTTATAGAAATGTATCGTGGGATGTTTGATTAAATTGCTAATGTGATAGCTAATTTCACCGTAACGTTATCTATTAGCGTTTGATACAGTTAGCGTTTGATACAGTTAACGTTATCCACAGATCCGATCCTGTTTTCACCTGTTATCACATGTTTTCTCTTCTGATAAAATGTAACATTAGCTAAGAGGCTTGAAATGTCTTCGATGATAATGTACCCCTAAATGGACAAACGAAACGTTACGAGACAATAAACGTAACGTAAGAATTGTTTTTTGGGGACGACTAACAATAACACTAGATGAAGAGGTATTGCTATCAAACTTGATATGCTGCTAAATTAACATCAACCGCGGGCAGCATATGTAACACTATAAATCTGGTTTTCTCAAAATTGGTCCTGGTGAGTCGTTGTCCTGCCTAGTTTAGCTCCAACCCTGATCAAACACACCAGAGGCAAGCTAATCAAGGTCTTAAGGATCAATAGAAACTCTGCAGGACAGTTGCCCTCCAGGACCGATTTTGAGAAACAATGCGCTAAATAGATGTTAACAATAGTTTTACTATTATATTTGCTGCTTAGTTTTATACATAATTGGAAAAATTTAGTCATCAGAGAGGCTTAACATTTACCTGCAGTGTTGAAATGTGTAATTTTTTTTAGGTATGAAGGCCCACTGTCATCCACTCCCATGAAAAAACGGCCAGCACTGACAGATCTCACTGCAACAAGCATCGGGTCAAGTGACTCTGATAAGTGAGTGTGCCTGTCTTGTTTCAGGTCATTCTTTGCTCATGGTTCCTCACAAGCATGTTTTAATTTGAAGTCGAAGTCATTATCATGACTAATTGTCATTCACATTTATGCCACATACTGTAATGTCGCATTACATTCTTATTTTTATTTATTTCTTGTGTGTGTTCAACCTGTTACAGAGACAAGCATACCTCAGAAAAAGCCAGCAAGGGCACAGCAGGTGTGGAAGAATTGGCCAAGCTTGAGTGCAGGTAGGTCATAATGTTCATTGTGATTGCAGGTTCTTATAAGATTTTATCATTGTAACTTCTTTCTAAAATTATGTTTTTTTTAATATTCTATCTTATCTAATGCTGTTCCCAAGCCTTGGTGAAATGAGCATTGGTGAGGAGGAACATCTGGATGGACAAGCCATCAATGACTTGAGGAATAGCACGTGAGTATTTTGTTCAGCGAAAGTGATGTCACTCAAGAGTGTTATCTCAGTCTATATTATGTTCTCGATGATTTTGTCTCAACAGTATTGACTGGGCAGTTAACCCTCCACCAGTAAAGGCATCAGATACAGATGATGAGGAGCAGGACAGCTCTGATGAAGAATACATCCCTCCACTTTCCCTTAGGTAAGTTTACTAATGTCTCTTTTACTGCAACTAAATACTACCATCAAGTCACAACTTTATAACTCCACAATTCTTGGATCTCCATCTCTTCTACACTTTGTTATTCTTTTCACCTTATTCTGACACAAGCATTTTATTTTTTTTCCCTTTAGTGTATGTCTTATCATCTTTCGTTCTTACTTTTGTTCTCATACACATCAATTCGATTTTAATGAAATGTGACCGCAAAACTCGTAACACTAATCATTGAAACAATGGTTTTACTGTTGAAAAAAGCATGCTTTTTATGGTGACCTACTCTACAAATCTGTTTGTTAATGGAGGCACAACTTTATTAAAAGACAATTTAATACAGACAGTTGAAGCGACTACCATCACTAATTCATTACAGTGCATTGCCCAATTTTATATTCCGAGACAAGTGTCATGTCAGCCCCATGTTTGCATGTGGAATAAGGTGATTTGGTGAAATTTTTCTTGCGTTAGCTATGCTGTTAACACAAGGTCTCACATGCCAATTCTTCTCTGCACAACTTTGCTAGACAGAATAGCTCCTTCAGATACTGTCTTGCAATGAAAATGTTTGTTCACATGTTTTTTGTCTCATATCTATGTTTTTACTTTTTTGCTGAAACAGGTTTGGTGGAGCTTTACCTAATGTTCCAAACTTTGATGCGCTGCCGATCATTGGTTTGGAAGAGACTGTATACGACCTCACTGAAGATATTCAGTCTGAACCTTATACATTTCCAGACAGCTCCACTGCCTCACCAGCTGATTCAAATATGCCAACAGTACAGAAAGCCGAGGACATTGTTGGTAGCAAGGCATCAATTGTGTATGATGATTGCTTGAAGTACCTTGCGGCCTTTGTTACACCTCCGGTCAAACAGTGCACAGCAAAAAATGTGACCGGTGCAACATGTCGACGCCATCCACCATTCCTTGTGAACATACAAGGGAAAGGCACTGCAAGCGTGTTAGAATGGGTATGTGACACTTTTGTTGTGACAAACTATGTGAATGTACACTTCAAATGTAAACAAATATGTAACCTTACATATAAACGTTTTAAAAAGGAAAAAAAAAGTGAACTGGCACAAAAAAAAGTTGGAGCTGTTATATAAGTCTATCTTTTCTTATCACTAGAGATGTGCTGATGGACACATTGTGTGGCGATGGGTTTCACAGCCCTTTATGAAGTACGGACTCCAGTCTGGAGACTTTATGCTGAGCACCAACATCTTGCTATCAGGAAACAACTACGCTAAAATTGCACTTCTATTTAGATTTATGAACATGGGCATTGTTGACCCAAACACTTTTTTCGCCATCCAAGACACATACTGTGTTGACTCAATAAAAAAGTACTGGATGGAAAAAAGGGCAGATGTGATTGCAAGACTTCAAGACAAAGATGTTGTTGTCCTTGGTTAGTGATGCACATACATTTTATCTTTCTAAAAATTATGTTGCAGTATTTTTATCTAACACAAACTCTCTTGTCCTACACATCTAGCTGATGGGAGAAACGATACTCCGGGTCATTGTGCGCAGTACTGTAGTTACACTACAATGGAAAATGACTCATTGGAGATCATCAGTGTAGTCACAGTAGACAAAAGACAAACCAACAGACGGTCTGCAATAATGGAGAAGGAGGCCTTCATCTTGACTATGGATCAACTAGTCACTGAACTTAAACTGGTCGAGATCTGTACAGATGCCCACTCACAGATTGGTGCCCTGATGGGTGAGTTCATACCCGCACATCCTAGCTATTACTTTACATGTAATTAACATTTGGCTTATTTCCATTTCTGTATACATGTTTTTTAGATCCTGTAAAGGGGAGGTACAAGGACTATAGGATTCATCACAGTTTAGATATGTGGCATGGTGCAAAGAATTTGGCAAAGAAGATTGCGGCTGTGAGTGTCCATAGTAGCAGTTTAATTACACCCCTGTCCATTGTAGTGTTGTCATTGTTGTGCGATGCTATTAATAATGTTTTAAATTATTATAACCAGGCAGCCCAGGTAAAAGAACTGTCCGTCTTACTACTTTGGCTGAAAGATATCGTAAATCACTTCTGGTGGTGTTGCAAAACAGCCGAATCCTATGATGAGTTCCTGGTAAGTTTTCACATTTCTCACTTTTAATTTCCCAAACCTTATTGTACTTTAACCTTATAAATACTTAATCGCACTTGTGAGCTGCCCAATGAGGCAGTGGGTTCCAATTTTAAGTGCCCACTTCATTCACGCTTTCCGTGATTTACGCAGCTGTGGCAAATTTTTTTAAACAAATAACGTATTACAACTAGGGCTGTGCAAAAATTAATTGCGATAAATCTTATCCAATTTAAAAGTCTGTGTTTACATTATTTATTATTGTGTGTGCTGTATGTAATTAATTTGTATATATAAATAGCTATGCATGTATATATTTAAGATTTATTTACGCTTACATTATGTATGTTTATATTTATTTATATATATATATATATATATATGTGTGTGTGTGTGTGTACATATACACGCATACATAATCTATATTATATAAATATTTTACATATGAGTACATGCATGTGTGTTTATATGTACAAAATAATTATATACAGCATACACAAATATATTAGGTAAACACAGACTTTTTTTGGTTGCGGATATTCACAAATAGTTTTTGCAAAGCGCCAATTAAAATGTAAAAGATACTACTTAATACATATTATTTGTGGTTGTTCGAGGTCATTTCTGTTTCATTGGGGAAAGATAAAAAAAGATGTGTGAGGTCCAGTGAGACATGGTTGAAACCGGACAATTCCAAGTGGTACACAATATAATTGTTGTTTCTTTTTATGTTTTGTATTAAAATTGTAGACACTGTGGGCCGGCATTTTACATCATGTCTGCAATGAGCATGAGTGGGCTATGGGCAGCTGTAAACATGGGCAACTGGCAGACTCAGAGAAACAATGGATTCAAAGAGACTCTAAAGCACACAAGGCTCTTGTGGAGATAATTCTCAAGAAACGATGGTTGAAGGATGTGCACAAATACCTGCGCTTTAGGTATGTGTGCGAATTGTGGTGAAAATGTTAATTTTACCTACAACTACTCAGTTCTGCCTAGATGTCACAATTTGTTCTTTTTTTAATTTCAATGCAGATCAACGGCAGACCTTGAATCCTTTCAAAACCATATATTAATGTATGCTAGCAAGCGCTTTGCCTTCAGTCCACCTGTGTACGAAGCCCGAGTCCTCCTGGCAGCCCTGGACTACAAC